AAATCTTAAAACTTTTTCTAATATTTTAAAAATTTTTAAAAAAATATATTTTAAAAATTATTTATAAAAATTATTTATAAATAGTTTCTAGAGATCTTCTTTTTATAATAATATATTATATTAATTTTTAATTATAGATTTAGAAAATTATATAATTTATAAATATAAGTTTTTAATATTATAAAAAGTTTTAGTTTATTTAATAATTAAAATTTAATTTAATTTATTACTTTTTTCTAAATTATAAGATTTATTAAAATTTAATTTATTTTATAATTTACTAGGTACTTAATTTTTATTAAATAATTAAAAATTTTATTTAATATTATAATTATACTAATATTAATTATTTTTAACTAATTTTAATTAAATAGAAGTAAATAGAGTATCTTTTTAAATTTTTATATTTATTTTTTTTTATATTCTATTTATCTAAGAATAGTAGATCTATTATTTATAAAATTTATAATATTTATAATAATCTTTTTAACTACCTGAATTACTCTATTAATTAATTAATAAAAAAATAAATATTCTAGAAAAAAAAGATTTTTAAAAACTTATAAAATATATATTAAAAATTATAAAAATATTATTATTATATTTACTAAATAGAAGATTATATTTATATAATTATAATAATTCTTAACTTAATATCTAAACTTAAGAAATTTAAAAAAGATATATAATTTAATAATAATATTAATTAATATAATAAGTACTAGATTATTTTTAAAAAGATATTTTATTTTTATTATAATTAGAATTTAGTTATTAATATATTATTTATTATCTCTGGATTATTTTTAAATCTAGATAAAATTTTTTATAATATTTTTAAATATTAGAAACTCTTACCCGCAGTAAAAATATTTAAAAAACTTAAAATATATTTAAATATTAAAAATATATAATTTATTAACTTATTTTTAATTTAATTAATACTATTTTAAATATTATAGAATATATTAATATTCTTATTTATTAAAAATTTTATTATAATTAATTTTTTATTCTTTACTAGATAACTAAAGATTTTTTATTTATTATAACTAATAATATTAGTATTAAATATTTATTTAATAATTTTTAAAATATTTATTATTATTACTAGAATTACCTCTAGCTTAATATAATTAAAATAGTTATATTTTAGATATATATTAATTATTTTATTATAAATAAAAAGTACTAGAATATTCTTAAGAATCTTAATCTAGACTTAATTATCTTTATATCTAAGAATTAAAAAGAAAATAAAATAATTATTATCTTTTATATTAATAAAAATAAAAATATAGATAATCTAAAAGATAATCTAAAGAATAAATTATTATTAAAAATAAAAAAAATAATTTTATTTAAATTTATAAATATTATATACTCTTAAGTAAAGACTTATTTCTTATAATTTTTATATTATTATAATTATTATTCTAAATAATATAAAGAGTAATTAGTATATATATTTTATATTAGATATTATTTTTTTTATATTAAGTTTTATAAAAGTCTTTTCTAAAGTACAGTATCTCTTAGGAGGAATAAATAAAATAAATAAAATAAATAAAATAAATAAAGTAGAAAGAATAGATAAACTAAATATAAAGAATATAATTATACTATAATTAAAAATATATTATATTTTATATATTATCTATATAAAAAAAATATATATATTATTAATTAATCTATAGTTAATAATCTATTTATTATACCTAACTTTTCTGATTAGTAGATATAAATAGTTAAAATAAGAATTATATCTTAACCTAACCTTAACTATATAGTTAAATTACTTTTTATACTTTAACCTGACTGCCAGGTTATGGTCAGGTTAAGGTTAAGGTATAACAGTCAGGTTAAGCCACTCTAATAAAAGCCTAAAGTCATCTAGGTTTTATTAGTCTAAAAAATCTAATTTTATTAATTATAAATTTAAGATAACTATTCAAGCACCCAAGCTAATCTTACTTATTTATTAACTAGTAAAAGAGATAATTTTTAAAAAGCTTTATAGTATAAATAATTTTACTTTTTTAAAATATATATAAGAGTAGTAGTTCTAATAAGAAGATAAAGAATTTTAATAATATAATAATATAATAAATAGTATATATATTTTAAGCTTAATATTTATTATATAATATAATTAATATTATTATCTAAAAGTTTTAGTAGCTGGTTTTTAGCTTTTCGAGGTATAGTTTACTAGTTTTAATATATATATTATACTTAGTGATAGTTAAGTCTAAGTTAATTTATAATTTATTAATATATTAAGTTAATATTATAAAAAGTAAAAACTTAGAGTTAATTATCTCGATTAAGGTATTTTAAATAAGGTATTTTTAGAGAGATAGGCTTAGGTATAGAAGGTATCTTTGTAATAATAAGAATTAGTATATATCAAGAATTTGAGCGCGTGTACGGCTTTATGAATTTGATATGTAGCTTGATAAGGAAGGTAGTGCTTGGTGGGAGATACACTGCTTAAAGGATTTGAATCCCTGTATCTCTCCACTGTACTAACAAAATCACCAGGGTCAACCAGAGTAGTACAGGAAGTACAGTAGCTCAAGTTCCTACTCAATTGGTATCAGCAGTTCTGTCGCTCACCATAGAAAAGTTTATATTGAAAAGAAGTTACTTGGGCAAGTGAGCCCTAATGTAAACCCATAGCAAAGTCTAGGAAGAGCGATCCGGGAAGAAGCAGAAGCAAGATCAAGCGCGGACGTCTACACCCGGTACGTAGCCTTGAAGAAGTCAAGTTAGGTTTTATTTCTAGAGCTTGTTTCGCTGTTGCCTAATGTGGGTCGAGATTGACACGGATCCACCGGCTTTCTCGAGAAACAACGAACTTTGACTACACGAGCTAATAGCAACTTAGCGAAAGATAGCACTGCAGCCGTTACACTACTCCTTTGTCCGACCCACCGCGGCGCTTGCTGATTTTCCCTATCGCTCTACCCTGGTTAGTCATTCTGTGAGGTATATCTCGTAAGTTAACCAGCACTTGGGTTCCGGATGAGTTCTTAGGCGCTGGCCAGACAACTGGTGTCGCTTTTTGGTTGGGATACACCATCTACGATCTATAGCAGCAGCAGAGCAAGAAAAGGAAGAACTGCAAAAGGAAGTCGGCCTAACAGATTGCACTATAAATACGAGCATGTTCCGCCACCCTGGATTATGAGCTACATCTCAGCATACTCCCTCAAGCTTCCCTTCCCAAGTACATCCCTCGTTTCCTTAAGCCTCTTTTGCACGGAAAGAGTATGCAGTGGACGTGGTATTGCTTGATCCTCGGTGACCTCTTTGCTCTCCTCGTCCGCTTCCGCACCGGAGAATGGTCTCCCCAAGCACGGTACTTTCTCGTGTGCTCGCACTTGGCCTTGTGGGCTCGAGTTTTGCAAACAACACTACTGTGACCTCCTATATCGAATCCTCCGACAGCAGCCCCGGGATGAACCTGACGGTTTCAATGGATGTGGTGAATGCCGACTATGCGTATCTCTACGACAATACAACCACCATTGAGGACCTTACCAAACGCACCGGCATCACCACCACGGTCGCCGCGTACACAGTGGCCAAGGTCACTTCCGAAGTCATCATCACCGCCGCTTCCGCGATCACGATCTACGAGTTCATCGCCGGGGTGATCAAATCCAAGTCTGATGCCAACTCCTGCACCATCACCTACGGCACCGACTCGGATGGCAGCCACACCGAGGGTTATGCCTACAAAGCCTCCACCACCGGCAGCAACTGCGACACGACTGCGGAGCTAAAAACGATTCGTTCTGCAACGGAAAAGTGTGCCACCACTCTCAGTACCATGGGCGCCGTGCGCGGCTGCTGTACCATGACCCATAGAGGCACTTGGGAGGGCCATCTCCGCTTGTCGGGGGATCCGACCAGTTATCCTGTGACGACCGTGACATGTTAAATGCAAGATTGGAACCAGAAGATGAAAAAGATGAGATGAAGTGAAGAGCTGCAGCAGTGAGGGGGAGAAAACATCTGGAAAATAGGAGAAAAGAAAAGAACAGCAGTAGCATCAGATATTCAGTCTTCTTCGCTTTTCCATTTTTCTCCTTGAATTTTAGTATACGCTTCCGAGATGGAAAGTAGTAAGGGCGACAAAACATGGTACAGTATCAGATCTCACTAAGCTCACCAACCAGGTTCACACTCCGAATAAGATCACATTTACCGGAGACTTGAATAGTGGGACTTAGCTACGGACAGTTTCCGAAAACCTAACCAGGGGCTTACTAGATTCATCTCCACTGTTGTAGAGGTTTTGATTCCGCTAGTCTTATTAACCTTTCGCTTGTGCTTCTTTATATTAGCTTCTGCGATCAGATGAGGTTTGGTCTCCGGATGTAGTGGGGCTCGCGCGGTCACGGCCGGTGTTAGCCGGGTTCGTAACCCCGCTCATTTGCGGTATGGTTGAGTCAAAGATGTCCGACAGGATCTCCCTTTGACGAGTGGCATTGAAGCAAGGGTAAGAATCGTGGAGAAGAGGGAGAGAATGCGCCGTCCCGACCATGAGCCTATCGGTCCTGTCCTAGTCCTTTTTAGTACTTAAGACCGGCGACATACTGTACTGTACTGTACAGTACTACCTACTGTATCCACTCTCTGTTACCAATAACTACCAGGGAGTGAAGGTGGGGTTTCAGACCAGAGTCACATCGCTTGAGTTATCATGATGAATACTCCCGGTTGTTGTTCGAAGCCCAGCAACGGCTATACAGTTTGCGTGCATCACTGTAACTCCTTCCAATTCTTGCAAGGATGTGCTGTATAACTATATATATAGGGTGATACCATTTGTAGCTAGCATGGCTTGTCAGCTGATTGCACCCCCTCTCGTCTCTAGGTACCTATGCTTCAATAAGCAGGCGGTGTGATCCACCTACGACAACGCACCATCCCGTTGCTCATATTACTGTACTCACCTTATATCATCCGATTCAGTTTCAACTTCAAGCAAGTAAGTCGTCCCATCCAAATATCCTTGTCTTAGATTACTTTGTAACTCAATGACTCAACTTCCGTCCGGAGCGGCATCTGACAGCGGGAGTCGAAACCCAAGGCCATCCCGAAGGCACGCCTGTGACCGATGCCGCAGTCAGAAGCTCTGCTGTGATCGGACAGCCCACTGCATGAATACATCAGTCGCTTGCGATTGCTGCGCTCGAAACCATTCCACTTGTGTTACCAGCGCTCCCATGCCCATGGGTCGTCTGCGCTCCTCAAATCCCAAGGCTCGTTACCGTCGGAAAAGCAACAAGATGTCCGATGAATTGGGATCCACGACCCCACCATCCTGTTCCACCATCCAGCCACCACCTGACCTCGCCATGGCCAGAATGGAAATGGACGCGGTCAATGATCTGCCAGAACTCTATTTCACTGAGGGAGATTTAGGCTATAACCTTGATTTTTCCAACATGAATGTATTCGACACCTCTGCTTTCGCTGATATGGTTATGAGCTCACAGCCTGAAGCAGTCAGCCCTACTAACTCTGCAGCTGTCAACCCTCAGGAGTAGAATATTAAGTACTTATGGAAGCTTTACAGTATACTGCTAGATTATATATATTAGATTAAAAATCAGATAATAAATCAGATTAATTTCTCTAAAAATAAATCTTTACCTGATATGTACTCTTTTAGACTATAATTATCTGATATTATGAATACCTAGACTAACTATCCGATATACTAGATAATATACTGTTTATAGATATTTCTTGATATTATTCAGTTCTTTGTCTTCTCTTATCGCTAGTTGGTCTACAGCATTCCACCCCGGAGTGTGCTATCACCGACTGCTCACGCAATTTGGATAATGAATACCTTATGTCTCCTGGCAATTCTGGTCCAGCTTCAGTTCTAAGCCCGGATACCTCATTCTCGTCCACGGTGCCTTCCTTCGACAAATCCACATCTTCCGAATTTCGAGGAGGTCAAGGGGAAAATAGCAGCAACAACCACCCTGGTAAGACACCTCAAAGACTGTGATCAGCTCTTCCCCTCACCTGCCAGACCCAGTTCCCTATCTGTCTAATTATTATAATTTATTATATACTGCTTCTCTACTTGTACTACAGTATTCTTACTAATCTGTATATTTCTATACTACTCTTAATAGTATAATACAGTCTTGTAGAAAACCTGACTAGTCTATTTATTATTCTAGATAATTTTACAGGTTTTATATTATTATCTAATATATACCTGAATAGGTTAATATTAAAATTAGATAGAGTATAATAGATAATAATTATTTTATAGCTAAGTTATAATCTATTTAAATATATTAACTGTAGTATAGAGATTTTATTAATAGATACAGGGTATATACTATCTACTCCTAGGATATATATATCAGTTCTGGATACTCTAGTGCAGTAGGAGGCCTGTAGTGGGTGCGGACCCACCCTTACTAATAGACTAGAGTCTACCGGGGGTCGGGCTGGTTGACTGGCACTGTTATGCTTGCTTGTCCAGAAAATACACAAGTGTATTCAGGATACTTGTCTGTGAGAATTATGCGGAGGAGATAACTTCTAGGGGCTGCAATGAATTGTTTTTAAGAATACCACACTTTTCCATTCCAATTCCGGAGAGCATACCTCCCGTGTCTCCTCAGTACCATGCAATTTCCTGAACCGCTTCGCCTGAAGTGATCTTTTGGGCACTTTAGATATGCAGTAGAACCGGTTGCATTCATAGAGGTACAGCACGTTGTGTGGTTTCCAACGAGCGTCAAATTGCGTACGGGTGATATCGAATGCCTGAGGCAGCGAGTTCGGGTACATTTTGCAAGCAACAAGACTTTCGGACTCGGATCCCTATGGTTCTGCGAAATGTCTCCGAACAGCTCAAAAAGACCGCGGAGATGAATTTCTCACGAACTTTCGTCTGAAGCACTCTTCTTAACTCACAGACATTTTGGAATTCTCATCATTGCACTCCTACTTGCAATTCACCCAGCAACGCCATGGAACCGAAGAACAGCCCTCCCGAGTCGGTTGATGCCTTACTCGCTGAGGTCTTGGATAATATACCAAAACTGACCTTCAACCATGATCTTCAGTTCTGGTTAGTCTTTGTTGTATTATATATGACTTCCCTGCTGGCTGCTCTTAAAGGGACTATTATATCTACTGCTCTTTCTACTATTATTACTGATCTTGAGATTAGGGACAATTACCCTTGGGTATCTAATACCTACTTTTAAACCATGTATATCAAGATAATCTGTTGCACAAACGGCCAATAATCAAATATTCTAATATATTCTATCCTACATAGGGCAGCTTTCCAACCACCATACGGATACCTTACTAATATTTTTAGTTGCTGCTATCTTATAATCTTCTCTGTTATTCTCTTTATCCTTAGTAGTAGTATTTACAGAGGTGCCTTAAGTACAGCTATATTAATTACTGGTTAAGTAATTTAAGATATTAGTAGAGATAGAATTAATATACTTATTAATTTTATTATCTGTGAACTAGTCCTTCTTATATAGTAAGGTATATATATTAAACTATTATTTATTATTTTTATAATAGGTATCTTACTGGGCTTATTTATTAGTAGTATTATTATTAATAAATAAGATTTTTAAAATTAAGTTTTATACTTTATAATTATTTATTATTTACTATTCTAGACTATTAAATATATATAATTTAAATAAATAACTAATTTTATTATTTTATTTTTTATTAAAGATTAAGTTTTCCTAATTAAGTATAAATTAAAAAATATTTATTAAAACTATTTAAAAAAATATATATAAAATTATTATTAAAATTTTTAAATATTAAATAAATATTAATTATAGTTAATTACTAGATTAATTTTAATTAAAAAATATTTTTTATTTTAACTAGATATTTTTTAATAAAAGATATAGATTATTATAAAATTTTATTAAATTTTTAATTAATATCTAGATTTTATACTAATAAAAATCTAGTTATAATTATTTTATTAATTTTATATAAATATAATTTTTTTATTAATTATTAAATATAATAATTAATAATACTAATAATAATAATTTAATATTTAATTTAATTTTATTAAAACTCTAGATTTAATTTAATTAAAATATTTAATTTTATAATATTTTTTTAACTTTAATCTTATAAAAATTATTTAAAATTAATATTATATTCTTTATTTTATTTATATAATTTAGTTTATAATTAATATTTTTTTATAAAAACTTTAGATTAAAGCCTTAAATAATATTATTAAATATATTTAAAATAATAATAAAAAAAATCCTAAGCCTTTTTTAATATTTTAAAAACTCTTAAAAAATATATTCTAGAAATTATTTATAAAAATCTTTTATAAATAATTTTTTAAAATCTTTTTTTTATAATAATATATTATATTAATTCTTAATTATAGATTTAGAAAATTATATAATTTATAAATATAAGTTTTTAATATTATAAAAAATTTTAGTTTATTTAATAATTTAAATCTAATTTAATTTATTATTTTTTTTAAATTATAAAATTTATTAAAATTTAATTTAATTTATAATTTATTAAATACTTAATTTTTATTAAATAATTATAAGTTTTATTTAATATTATAATTATACTAATATAAATTATTTTTAAATAATTTTAATTAAATAAAAGTAAATAAAGTATATTTTTAAATTTTTATATTTATTTTTTTTATATTTTATTTATTTAAGAATAATAAATTTATTATTTATAAAATCTATAATATTTATAATAATTTTTTTAATTATCTGGATTACTTTATTAATTAATTAATAAAAAAATAAATATTCTAAAAAAAAGATTCTTAAGAATTTATAAAATATATATTAAAAATTATAAAAATATTATTATTATATTTACTAAATAAAAAAATATATTTAAATAATTATAATAATTCTTAATCTAATATCTAAACTTAAGAAATTTAAAAAAAATATATAATTTAATAATAATATTAATTAATATAATAAGTACTAGATTATCTTTAAAAAAATATTTTATTTTTATTATAGTTAAAATCTATTTATTATTATATTATTTATTATTTTTAAATTATTTTTTAGATTTAGATAAAGTTTTTTATAATATTTTTAAATATTAAAGACTCTTACTTATAATAAAAATATTTAAAAAATTTAAAATATATTTAAATATTAAAAATATATAATTTATTAATTTATTTTTAATTTAATTAATATTATTCTAGATATTATAAAGTATATTAATATTTTTATTTATTAAAAATTTTATTATAATTAATTTTTTATCTTAATTAGATAACTAGAGATTTCTTATTTATTATTATTAATAATATTAATATTAAATACTTATTTAATAATTTTTAAAATATCTATTATTATTATTAGAATTATCTTTAATTTAATATAATTAAAGTAGTTATATTTTAGATATATATTAATTATTTTATTATAAATAAAAAGTATTAAAATATTTTTAAAAATCTTAATCTAGATTTAATTATCTTTATATTTAAAAATTAAAAAAAATAAGATAATTATTACTTTTTATATTAATAAAAATAAAAATATAAATAATCTAAAAAATAATCTAGAAAATAGATTATTATTAAAAATAAAAAAAAAAATTTATTTAAATTTATAAATATTATATATTCTTAAATTAAAATTTATTTTTTATAATTTTTATATTATTATAATTACTATTCTAGATAATATAAAAAATAATTAATATATATATTTTATATTAAATATTATTCTTTTTATATTAAGTTCTGTAAAAATATTTTTTAAAAAAAATAAATAAAATAAATAGAAAAAATAAAATAAATAAAATAGAAAAAATAAATAAATTAAATATAAAAAATATAATTATATTATAATTAAAAATATATTATATCTTATATATTATTTATATAAAAAATATATATATTACTAATTAATTTATAAATAATAATTTATTTATTATAACTAATCTTTCTAATTAATAGATATAAATAATTAAAATAATAATTATATCTTAATCTAATTTTAATTATATAATTAAATTATTTTTTATATCTTAATCTAATTAGTAGATTATAGTTAGATTAAGATTAAGATATAATAATTAGGTTAAGCTACTCTAATCTTATATTTAGTAAATAACTAGTATTTTATTAATTTATTAATATATTTAGAAAATATTATTACTTTATTTTTTTAATTCTAAATTATTAATCTAAATTAAAACTAATATTTAATTAAAAAAATTTACTAAAGTAAAATTAAATTAAATAATTTTAAACCAGAAGTTATTGTCATAGTAAACCTGTGTAACTGAGTGGTTACTGTAATAGAATACCTATACCTTAGTTATAAAATAGTCATGATATTAATGATTTAGTAGAATCTGTATCTTAAATATCCAGGTCTTGCTATACTCTAGGAAGGTAAGGATTAGTCTATATTAATATAATACTAGTACTTTGATTCTATACCTGGCTGACCTTTTCTCTTTACAGTTATTTATTACTATTTATTTATTTAAATATTAATATTAATATTTAAAAAAATTT